CGTTATTTTACGGAGAGTTCGCTGGATCATCATCAAATTTCTTGCAATAATTTCTACAACCTAAAAAAAATCGAAAATACTTTTTAAGTTTTCCTAATGGCTACATCCGGAGAGATAATCACAAATACTGATAATTCAATTAATCCTTTCTTTTACATAAACAGCTTGCTTTCGTTCGTAGTTTTCAATATTTTTACACATCTTTCGGAACGTCAAGTAATACTCGTAGATTAAGTCAGCGTTTCAATATCTCGAACACCGTTATTTATTCTCGTGTTTTTTTTTATAGTACTTATATATATATATAGTATTATTATATATATATATATTATTATATATAGTTATTTATCGGTGAAATTAATACCTCTATAACACGTACTTTTTCTAAACTTCCTGTGATGCCGCCTTTTTACAAAAGCTGTCGATTAAGAGTAATAAAAATTCCAAACTCTCATGTCATGCGGTACTTAAAAAGGTACCTACACTGTATGTTTTTAGTAACAATACATTGTAAGCATTGATCATAATACTTCTTAACAAATTGATCCATGAGTTAAAATAAAAATAATGGTTTAATTCACAAAAGATCTTTTTTTCAGTTGTAACGTAACACTGCTTGTCGGAAAACAATCTTAATAAATCAAAACGGCTGCCTTTCGACACAAAAACTTTTATATAAAAAGAAGTTGGCCACATTTTTTTTTCTAAAAATAATATTATTTTAACAAAAATGATCGTTAGCTTATTTGTCCTAAGTTTATTTTCATATATCTTAAGTTTCTGTTTCGGTGTCATATTTCTGTATTTTTTTAACCAGTTACCAGTAGGCCATGTTGACAAACATTTTCAATTCGATTTCATCCGGAATAGTCGGCCCCGTTGAAAAATAACACCATTTCGGTATTCAATACTAAGATTGTTAACTCATCAATACTCATAAGGTTGAAATCGCTACACAAAAGAAAAGAGTAAAAAAAAATACCTGACTTCGTAAAATACTGACAAAGCACCGAATATTATAAACAGTCGCCAAGGTCTCATGATTGATGTTTAGACACTTCATTAGACTTGCGTTGAGAAAAATATGGAACAACATTTAACTGATAAGTTTCTGAGAACTGAAATTCGATAGCTCTGGAATCGACTTATTGGCTTCGCTTTATCAAATGCCCAGCCTTTCTTGGTACTTTTCTTCAATCTTTAGTACAAATAAATTTATCATAACTTTTAATTAGTTTTGTAATACAATTTATACCAGAAAATACCGGGGATATGTTTTTTTATAGTTAAAAAGGTTAAAACCACGCGAAATGGAAATGTGGTATCTGTCGTTATTTAAAATAAATCCAATTTATGCTATATATTCGACATCTTAAAAATTCTGTACATTATTTTAGCTGAACACGTAAATCTGTATTTTTTCTGTTTTAATTTAATAATTGTCTGCACCATAAATACACTGCTAAGTCGAGTACCAAGAGCCCTATAGCTACCATTACATGTTTTTCGCATTGTCAGAACCTATTACATTTATTGATGATACAAAATGATACTACAAAACTCTACTAAAACTACGGAGCTATAGATCTAAAATTCAGTTCTAAAACCTGTATCATTAGCTTGGTTTCTAAAAGAACTTTCACAGTATTAACTTCGTACTTTGATGTTATTAATATCACTTTTTAAATTGTCTAAACCTTTTCTCAATATTTTCTGAAACAACAAGAGAGCAATTTTAATTTCTCAAGTTTTATGCGTGCTTACTCAATGTTACAATGAGCACGGCAACTTTGAAAGTTAGATACATCGATCATGAGCTTACCCTGAATTTTTTTTTTATGGAAAAACAGCTGAAAAATTTGTTTTAAAATTTTTCCATGTTTCGTGAGTGGGTTTCCATGCAGTAAACCATCGTTTAGCATATTTAAGTAAAAAGGGGCCAATTCTACTTACGGTTTTCCGATCAGACCAACGAAATTCAGTTTCATACCAATTTATTTTTACAAACCACTCGTATAGGGGGAGTTTCCAATGCCCGCCGTCGAACATGGGCACAGATTCGATTGTAGCACGCTTGGCCATTGCTAATTTAATTAGCATAAAGTCACACAAAATTCACAGGCACACGAAAAGCACCCGGGTTTATTACCCCACACCTGATGTTAAATTCTTTTAAATTCGCGGTTAATGTCAAGCAGTGACTGCCGCGGCGACGCTATCCCTTCACTGTCGTTCGCGTCCCGCCTTCTTGGCGCACATGCGTGAGATTCAAATATTACAAATAGAATCTAACAATATTCTACCTGTTTCTAATATTTTTAAAACACTTTTTATATCACAGGTCAGAAGAAAATAAACTGGCTAAAAATAAAACAAATAAAATTGGAAAAGGATGACCAGATGTCACTTTATGTTAAAGAAACGTATGACGAAAACACTGATTATGATAGAATAGATATTTCAAAGAAACAGATAATAAAAAGAAGATCCGTTGTAGTTGCTACACCTGATGATGTGCTAGTCCCATTATGGCCAGAAGGCAAAACCAATATCGGAACCAAAACTAGCAGACTTGAAATCGATTTATCATCTCATTCCCAGTGATGCTCTTCATTTTTATAAGTGTCTTAAAGCAGATCGGAAAATAGAAGATGATATTGAGGGGTATAGTGGCTCTTTAGATTTTGAGATTGAAGAATGTTGAGATGCTACGTAGCTGTCTTTATCACTCATTGATTTCCTTCCTTGTTCAGATTCGATTTTAGGGTTGGTTCTGTGTTGCCTAACACCATTCAATTATTATCTGTACGAATCCCGCCTGAGTCCCAAATGCGGAACTGCTAAATATTCCGTGATGGTGGAATATTTCATTTACACACGCATCTATGTCAACTAAAGTAAAATTATATTTTAGCACAATGCCAATTTTTTTTATAATAAAAAAAAGACTGCCACTTTTTGTCGGGGCCTGAATCTTAATGGGTTTCCCGTGCAGTGCCCCTTTACAATGGGGGGATATTCTCCTTTTTGTTAGATATGGCATTAACATATCCAATAGATTGGTGAATGGCTTCACTGACCATTGGCCTTCATGGAAAGAAAATAAGCTTTATAAAATCCTTTGTGGCCCTTTTTTATTTATCACTTTTTTTATTTCCGTGATTAACACAGACGCTTTTTACGCCGATTTTGTCTAGAAAGGCAGTATCAAAAGATAACTCCTACTACAAAAATACCGTCGATATCCATTTTAACATACGTGGACATGAGAAGCACAACAATTCACAGTCCTTTACAAAGATGCAACCGGTGGGGCATTGAAAATGATGACGAACATGCAAATGTGATTAGTGTTAATATGAGTGTATTACATATGTTTAAATAACGAACTTTAACAAAAAACAACAGATTTGAACATTCAGTGAAAAAGTATTAATGTTAACATTAACAATAAACAATTAAACAAACAATGTTACATTATCAATAATAATTATGCGATCGCACCTAGCCGTAAAACAAACAAGCAAAAAAATAAAATAACATACAAAACATCAGCTTAACATTAACATTAAATAAATCATTATATTAATAATAATTATTAATATTATAAAGGTGCCCGGTGGCGTAGAGGTAAAAGGTACAGGCTCTCGTCTACCAATCTCAAGGTAGTGGGTTCGATTCCAACACCCGGCATTGCATCAGCCAACTATTCTTATTAAAATAAAAATAGTTTGGGTACCTAGGTCGACTCAGCCTTAAATGAGTACTTGGGATTCACAATCCTGAGGTAATAATAGGCGGTTGAAGCGTAGTGCTAGCCACATTACCTTCCTTGTATACCGAACGGCTCTAGTATGGCAAGCTGTACCTTGCTACTCCCAAGGCGTTAAACGCTATATACGGGAGCTATTATTATATTATTATAATTATTCGATCGCACCGATCCGTAAAACAAAGGAGCAAAAAACAAAATCGGTTAAATACAAAACATCAGGTTAACATGATGACAGATAAAGAATTCTTAGGGAAAGTTACACTTTACGATATAATTTTTTGACTGTTAAAGGCAAACCCCATTTAAACACAAAACTTTTTAATACCTACTACTGTATCTAAAAGACAATTTTTTTTTAAATTACTAAATTATTAACCACGCTTCTGTTTTTCTTGGCTGTTGAGCGTCACGTCACACATTAACAGGCCCACGTTTGCGCCACAAGGCGATGCTGCAGACCACTAGGTAGACCGGACGTAAAATTTATGTTATACAACTTGTAGTCAACCTACACAAATATTATCAAAAACTTTTTTGATAGTTTTAGTTTTTAGTTTTTAACTAACATTAATCAGTTAAATAAAATAATTTAACAAAATCGTAAACCTAAAATTTGGTATGAGTTTCTTAGTTTTTAACTAACATTAATCAGTTAATTAAAATAATTTAATAAATTATTAATTATTTTTCCAACATATTTTACTTTGCAAATTTTTATAAATATTCAGAGACTCGCCAATATCGTAGTCCACCGTGTACGGCCTGTTTAACCAAACGTAGGCCGATTCCTCTTTGGCGGCATCATGACCCTGGCCGATAAAAGAGCCTTGGAGACGCTCAAAGATAGTGATCGAGAACTATCGATAGTCATACTATCAATATTATTTTTTAAAATATCGATAATTATCGATAGTACTCGATAGTTTTTTTTAATCATGCATGTACGATACAAATGGGAAAAAATGAACTGAAAATCTATTAAAACTTTTAATTGCTCGTTTATTATCTGTTATATTCAGGTTTTTATGCAAAAATATTAATTTATCAACATTCGTTGACTTGAGTTTTGATCTTCGATCCGTTATGACCTGATCGGCAGAACTGAAGCTTCTTTCACTCTCAACCGAGGTTACTGGAATGCATAAGAACTTCCTAGCACATTCATCTATTGGTGTCAACTCATTTCCACTTACCTGAAGAAGTATAAGAAAAATTAAATTAAGCAATGGCAAATAATGGACAGGTGGAGTTGCTGAAATATAAATACAACATTTATTTTGTTGTTTGTTGTTTCTCCTTTTGTTGCATACCTTCCAAAATAAAAGCGCATCAGCATCTTCAGCAGAGTTTGCCCTCTCTAAATATTGCCTTCTAGTGATAATGACATCAGCCAGTGACTGATTTTATGTTTCCCGATATGCTACTTTCAAAAAATGCAAAAAGCGAAGAGGAAGTCTGGATGTTTTTGGACACTGAAGGTTCATTTATATTTATGTTCTGACTTTGTGATTTTTGTCGTAAAGCTTCTTGCATTTATTGTTCTAAAATTACAGCGGCAGATGAAGCATTTTCTGGATTTCTAAAACCCTCTTTCTTAAATCTTGGTCAATAATTGTTCCTATTTTTGTAACATTTCTACTTTCATAAGGAAATATTCTTTTCTTCGCTGATTCTATAACCCCACTGCAAAATAATTTCCCTTCTTCTGTATCAAGTTCTGTGATAACTGCATTTAAAAAATTATAGATACCAAAAAAAAAGATCAGAGGGATTATCAAAGAAATAGTAACATAGCTGCCACCTGAAAATAATAATAACATTAAGTATCTATAAATTCTATTTCATGATTGCAATTATTATGAATGAAACAATGAAGGTTTTAAACAACTAACTCACCTGAAATTTTTTTCGTAGCCTCTTCAAAACATTTCAGAACCTTCACAACATCATTTAAAATAGATAGTTCATCTACAGAGAGAGGTTGAGGAGCTTTACGTACTTTCAGCAGTGTTCTACTGATTGCTTCATTGGTTTTAAGACTTCTTTCTATCATGTGGAAAGTACTATTCCATCTGGTTGGTACCTCCTGTATCAGCTTGTACTGTTGTTGTTTGTTATATCATCATCAATATTTTGCTCCTTTTTAAAAATTTCCATGGCAACATTGCTCGACTTAATAAATGTAACAGTATCCTTAAACCTCTTGATATTTGTCTTTAAGTCGTTAAAGTTTTCTTGCACAACAAGGTTGAGACTGTGTGCGTAGCAAGGAAGATGTCTTATTTTCAGTAGTTCACATGTTTTAATCATGTTTGCCGCGTTGTCAGTCACTATGCAACCAATTTTATTTTCGATATTCCATTCTCTGAATAAGATCTCTAAATTTTTTCTGAAGTGTGGTTCATTCCATTTGCCAAAGGTTTAGTCGAGAGATGTACTGGCTTTAATTCAAAAGCTGAATTTATGTAGTGGCATGTCACAGTTAGATACGACTCAAAAACACTAGAGGTCCATGAGTCGGAGGTTATTGCAACATATTTTAAATAAATAAATGCCTTTATTGTCAAAAAATTTTACAATTTGTAGACAAAGGTAAACTAAACAAACCTAGTAAACAAACAAACAAACAAAAGAGAATACAAAACATACAAATATCATTGTCAGTCTTATTGTTTAAAATAAACATTTATACATGTTTACAATGTCAAAGAAAATGTTAAAAAAATAAAAATAATATTCAAAAATATTTAGTTAGTTTATAGTAAATATCAATGACCTCTAAATAAATGTATTTCGATGTCATTAGTAAATATAGAAATAGTAAACATTAGACCAGTGTTTACAAGATCGAATTCGATTATCAAAATATAAGTCATTTACGGCGTAGAAAGTTATTTCAGTCAAATCATTTTTCAATTTTTGATGTCCCTCTTGATAGGTAGTTTCCAATAATTTTCCACTCAAAGTATATGGACTTGGAAGAACATATCTAGGATCTAGTAAGTTTAGCAGTCTAAATCCCTTGTCTTTCACAATGGTAAAGGGCTGAAAGTCCAGTGCAATCATTTCTATGATACTTTTATCAAGTTGTTTCTTACGCTGATAATTTGATTCATATTGAAAAACTCTTCGGAAAAATGGGCTAACTGACCTGGTACTAGAACGTGCACTAGAAGCAGAAGATGCAGTTTCAGAACTAAATGAGACAGATGCACTGCACTAGAGTCTGTGCCGATAACCTCACACAGCACATTTCCACCAAAGTTTTGTGCGTGCGCTATTCGCTTGAAGATTGGCGGTAAATTCAAAAAGTTGTATTTTTTTTCAGAATACAAAACAATTAGTCAAAACAATAGCTTTATTTAACATCCTCTTTTAACGGTTTAATGTTAAACGCCCTTTTAAGATTGTTTACATATGATTTAAATGTACTGAAAGGGCTTTTATTTAAAAGAGAATGTTGAATACGGGTGTAAAAACTAACGATAATACAGGGTGTCCCAGGTAAGAATTCTTATTCATTATAGAAGTTTATGAGGATATCTCGGAAACCATAAAAGGTAGAATTTTGGTTAAATAGGAAAAAAGTTGCGGCTTTTGGTGACTAATTATTAGATGCCATTTTAAAAATTAACAAATTCTGATCGGTTCCGAACACAACCGTAAAAACGGCATTTTGTCAAATTTTGTATTGAAAAAAATTAATTTTAATTAAAAAAAATAAGTTGATGATTTCCACTAAAAGGTGAAACGTCGAATTTAAAATTTGATATTGCCATTTTAGTGTAGAGGCATAGCTGTGAGAAAGTATGTTTTATTTTTAAATATCTCTTAAAATAAGACCAGGAAAAAATAAAGTTTTGACAACAGGGCGCGCTGTTTTTAATGGATATCTTCAGAACCAATAAGAGTTTTTTAAATTAAAAAAAAGCATCATTTTGTTAAGCACCTAAGGTCGCAACTTTTTTATATTTATCTGGGACGCCTTAGTATACCACTTTAGTAGGTGCACCCATAAAGAAAAAAATAATATATGTTCTCACGACAGTTAGAAAATTATATTAAATTAGTTTGATGTGTGTTTGGTTTAATAATAATAATAGGTTTCTAGGAGTAGGTATTTTTAAATGAATAAAAAACAATTTTATGAAAAATCTTTGCACATTTTTCTTAAGTCGCGTGCAAAAGCCTTGTAAGCAATAAGCATGCTGCAAAACAGGTGATATATTTTTCTTAAATTAAGGAGATAAGGTTTCACCTTCTTAATTTGGTCAATAAGATAAGAAAACAACCTGGTATGAGTAATCAATTAATTTTTACTAAAATAAAATTAGTAATTACAGTAAAAGACGTAAGGCTATATCATTAGTTTCACAGGAATCTGCGGGTTTCTCAAGTTGTGTTGTAGATCGATTGTTTTTTTTTTGGTAGAAAAGAATCGCCTTTGAGGTATTATATTGCCTGCACTAGAATTGCCCTTGGACACGAATGATTTTGCATGTGTTAAATGATTACTTTCTCTAACAGCTGCAACAGTTGGAGTCATTGAAGCTGCAATTACCTCAAGGGATTCAATTTCTTGAATGGAAGTTGTATTTTTAATTACAGACGTAATAGTTTCTATAAGTCTATCCTGTCTTTTCACAAGGTTATTTTTGTTGTAACTAATACAGATTATGTTATTGAACAAGCTTTTATTAATAACTTTAATTATAACAAATTACGTTAAACATTCTCTGTAACCTCTAGTCTAAATTATTGTCTGTCTTCTTCTGTCGTACCAACCTAACCTAACATGACACTTGACATTTGAACTATTGTACATTTCATCTACACACAACATCCTTCCTTTTAACATTGTAAAACTAGCTTTTACATAAGAATAAATGTTTACATTATGCACAATAGTCTTTTAGATATGTAGGACGTTTAGAAACTCTTCCTGACCTAGTTGTTGGTCTATCTGAATTGTTAATTATCTCATTAGGTTGATCACTTACTGTGTTTGGATCAGGATGATTAATTTCTCTTTGTAAATTTAAAGTATCATCAAACTGACTTCTATTAGTTAAAGTATTATTAAAACTTTCTGGAGAAACTACACATTTATTTTGTGAATGTCTCAAATGAAATGAATTTCTTTGCATACCCCTTCAGGCATACCCTCAATGATTTGCATAAGTAGCTACTTGGTTCATCAAGCTCTATTTGATAGAACCCATCTTTCATGTCTAATACACTAAAGACTTCCTTTCCCGCTAGCCTATTGCACAATTCTTCAGGTGATGGTATTAAATACCTTTCTCTCCCTATATATCGGTTTAAATCTTTTGGATCCAGGCATACCCTCAATGATTTGTCTGGTTTTTCCACGATTACCAAATTTTGGCACCATTCTGTTGGTTCATTGACTTTTATTATTATGCCTTTCTTTTCCATAATTTCTAAGGTGTTTTTTAATTTGTGACTTACAGCTTCTGGAACTCTTCTTATTGGCTTAATAATCGGTTCAGGTTCTCCTATCAATTTAATTTTGTACTTACCTATCTTACCTAACCCTGTAAAAACATCTTTGTTCCTACTAACAAACTGTTCTTTTGTTTCTTTGCTTGTAATTTCATTGACTCTTTTTAATAAATTGAATTTTAGACAACTTTCTAGTCCTAAGATAGGTACTGCATTGTTGAGATCTACCACCAAAAAATCTACCTTGTTAACTTTTTTATTTAACTTACACTCTAAATTTACTGACCCTAACGGTTTAAATTTATTGCCACTGTATGACGTGAGAATTAACTTAGTTTCCTTTAAGTTTAAAGAATTGTTTTTGTTTAATTTCTGAAAGTAATTATAAGGTAAAGTATTAGACTCTGCGCCTGTATCTAATTTAAATTGGATAAACTCTTTGTTTATTTTCATTTTTTGGTACCACTCAGTTTGTAAACTATTTATAGAACTATTAAGGTTTACTAACTGGCTTACCTTATCTAACTGACCTAATACCAACGTATCCAAATAAAATGTTTTTTCTTCTTCAATATCTTCTTGTTCCTGTTCTTTGACTTCATTTACTCTTTTCTTGTTTTTCACTCTTTCTACTGATTTCTTTTCTTGTGGCTCACTTCTTTCCTGTCTTGCTTTGTGACACATGGTTGCAAAATGATTCCTCTCCTTGCAAGCTGCACATTTCTTCCCATAAGCTGGACATTCTCTTATCTTGTGGTTTTTTCCACATTTCTTACAATTAAAGATTTCTTTCTTTATCATTGCAACTTCTACCTTTTCCTGTAGCCTTCTTGCATGACTTTTTCCTGCCTCTGAAGCTCGACAGTACGCGATTGCTTTTGTTAATGTAAGATTCTTTTCACGTAACATTCTCTCTTGCAATAATGGATCATTTGTTCCAATTACAATTCTGTCACGGATTAACCTCTCTTCTTGATCCTGAAACTCACATAGTTTTGCTTGTACACATAGTTCTGTAAGAAAATGGTCAAAGTCTTCATCTGGTCTTTGTACTCTGCTAAAAAACTTAAAACTTTCGTTTATGATGTTCTTCCTTGGAGCACAATACTTCTCAAATTCTTCCAAAACCTTTGTGTAATCACTCTTATCTTGATTTGATAGCTTAAAGGTGTTAAAGACATCTAGAGCTTCTTCCCCAGCTATATTCATAAATATGGCAATTTTTCTATCATCTGCTTTATTTTCTAGGCCCGTGGCTTTCATGTAGATATCAAACTGCTGCTTGAATTTCGTCCAATTCGCTTTTTCTCCATTGAGAATCAAACCTCGTGGCGGCTTTAAACTACCTTCCATGGCTTTTCTTTTCAAACTTTTTTGAATTATCTTACAACAATTTGATTCTCTTCAGTTTTTACCTGACACCATGTTGTAACTAATACAGATTATGTTATTGAACAAGCTTTTATTAATAACTTTAATTATAACAAATTACGTTAAACATTCTCTGTGACCTCTAGTCTAAATTATTGTCTGTCTTCTTCTGTCGTACCAACCTAACCTAACATGACACTTGACATTTGAACTATTGTACATTTCATCTACACACAACAATTTTCTTCCTTGGAAGCTAATTTTTTCTTGCAAACTTCTTGAATTATTGTGTCAAAATTTGATTGCTCCTCTTCACTGATAACTAAGTCAGTACATACTAAAAAAAATAAATTATTATTTGCTGCTAAGCTCATGTTAATGTAACTGTTAAAAAAACTACGTACATAGGTAAGTAAGTATAGATAGGTAAGTATAAGCAGGTATAGATAAATAATATGGTAAGTATAGTATAAACCCATTAATAACTAGCTAATTATATTTCTTTAAATACTACATTTATGATGTAATAGTATAGGTATTTCACGTTTTTTAGTATCAATTTTTAGTATATAATTATACAAGCATCAATATAATTAATTAAAACACACCACCACAAAAATACTATCTACTGACACACTGGCTAGTGAAATAAAACCAATAAATAAATTCGGTAGTAATCCAACACTCTAACAATATTATATTATAACAAAACAAAACCACACAATGTAAAATAAAACTTACTCTTTTTAATATTATAGAAATACAAGGTGTGATTATTTCAAGGTACATCCAGTTTTATATTTTATCCTATGAATTATAAAAAAAATAATATTTGTTTTGCAAGGAAGAAACCATAATAAATGAGGCGTTTATTTTTTGCAAAAACCATATGCCTATAGATTATCTATCTTTGAAAACTGTGGTGTTAAGCTCCTCATTTTTTGTGGAAACTGACATTTTGGGTTTTTGCAAAAGAGGCCTCATGTAAAAATTTTTTCTTTCTTACCTTCCGGACTGATGCTAGGTTCAACAATGGTCTTTATTTTCTGATTCAGGGCTACAGCATGTATGTGTTTACACATATTAAACTTTATGGCTGAGTCAATGCAAGTGCAATAAAATTGGTGTATACATATATTACAATCATCACATCTTAGAGAGCACTTACAAGCCTCCAATTCTTTATGTACATAATACAATTCTGCTGACCTTTCTGATGGCACAACAAAAGCATTTTCGCCTTCATAAATTAATTCTTTTTTTATGTTATTTGAGGATGTATGCCTTAGTCTGATGTTTGAAATAGTGCTACACAGCTTTCCTTTATGGCCAGAAATTAATTTGTCAAACAATTTGTCTCTTACCATCCTCATAATTACTGTTATAGATTTATCTAATCGCTTAACTTTCTTGCCATTTAGATATTCATATTTAATTGTTCTATGGAGTCTTTCTAAACGCATGTTTGTGTTAATTCCTGTATGTTTTCTATAGCAATAGGCCCAAAGATGTGGATTCTTAAAGTAAGCTTCAAAATATTTTAAAAATTCTGACATTTCTGGTTCATTACTGTGATCTTCGACAAATGTTATCATCATTTTTTTGAAAGCTTCTTTATCTGTCTCCTGTAGCAAAACTCTTAACTGCTTATAGACTAGAGCCTAAAAAATACATCACTATTTGGTTTAACTATCAGTATATTAATAAGATTACGCAAAAGAGGTATTGGTGCAGAGTTATTGATTATAAATTGCCCCCTTCTAAGTTAGTTATTTATAAAGCTACATAGACATTATTTTTTAGCAAAATATTGGAAATCAATTGATTTGGCAAAAAAAATCAAATGTAGCTTTAAACAGAACTAACTTAGAAGGGGGGCATTTATGATCAATAACCTTCTTTACTCACCCGAAGTTAATAAAATTTTTGAATTAATATTTTTACGCCAAGCTTTATCTAAATGTCATGTACAGTATAACCTAAAAGTCAAAGTTAATAATATTATTGCCTATTGCTATATGAGATTCAAGTTTATTTACCGTTTTTCTGGTAATCCCATAACCTTAATCCATGCATTAAAGTATGCCTCTGCCATCTCCGACATAAAGGTTTGACATTTTATAGTCCCAACTTGTTTTTGTATTTCAGAAAAAAATAGAGCCAAAACATCAAAATCTGACCGATTTGAAATAAGAAACCCACAGGGGAAACCTTCTCTAAGTTCATCTACAACCATTATTGTGTGTAATTCAAAATCATAGTTATTAGTTCCATGTGTGCCATCTAAGCAAATTATATCTTTTCCATGCTTCAATAAAATTTCCCTTTGTGATGATGTCATTATTATTAAAATAAAGTCTTCTTCTTTAAATTTAAAATTTTCTTCTAGTAAAATGCCTTGCGGTTTATAAAATAGGACACAGTTACCATTTTCTTTCATATTGTTTACCCAAGACTCTACGCTTACAGCATCATTTTTGTGCCACGTTGGTGGATGTGCAAGTTGATATGCATACTCAATATTAAACAAATCTTTTCTGTTGCTAAGATGAATCCTTTGTAAATCTGAATTAACTACTGAATTTCTGATGTTATCCAAAATAATATTAAAGGGAATTTTTTGAGCAATTTTTGAAGCTAATAAGTTTTTTTCTTGCTTTGTTAAGGTCATATGGGCTAATTCTTGTCTGTGCCCCACATGGGTTTTCATATGTCTTACAGTGCAACTGCCTAAAACAAAATTTAACATAAACAAAAAATAATTAATCTAAACTTATCACTCGACTTACCATCAGTACTAATTTTCAAATTTATAGATGCCATACAAAACGCATTTATTTTCTTGGATCCCTGTAACTTTAAATGCCGTTTTTGAGGCATATACACCCCTGAACGACTGCAAACATAACGATTTAGAACATGGTGCTTAGATGATTTTGTTGTCTCTTTACGAAATTGCGTAGAAATGTTTTTTTCAATGGTTTTTTTCCAATCCAAAAATTCAGAGACTGATAAAAACTGCAGTTCCTCAGATTCAACTTTTACATCATGAAGGTTTCTGATATGTTTAACAAATTCTTCCAAGGAAGGTGATGAATAAGTTTTGCACAAAGGGCAAATTTTGTGCTTAATATTTTTTCCTGGCAGTGTTAGAACCTCGGTTAGAACAGTACTGGCACTGGAATGTAAATTTTTTATATGGCTTTTTAAATGGTGTTTATACGAATATTTTCGGTTACAATGACTGCATTGATAATTATATGTAACTTCAACTTCAGGACGAGTTTCAGAATATTGGGAGTCAGCATGTTTTTGCTTAATGTGCCTTTTAAGGGTGTATTTTTTTGTGAAGTATTTGTTACATACCAGGCACTTGTTATCACTTATCTTCTGTGGAAGGTTCTTAAATTCTTCCTGATGTTTCCTTTTAAGATGCAGTTTTAATGAGTCACTTCTGGCAAATATTTTTTTGCATACCCAACAAAATTGGGGTGCCATTGGGGTTTTATTTACCTACTACAATCACAATTCAATACACAATATGGCATGGTAATTAATTGGTAAATTTTAGAGAACACTCAAAATCATAAGGTAAAAACAGTAAAAACACGGCCAAAGTAAAAAACATCAAAGGCCAACAAAAACATAATTTTGAACATTGAAGTTTTCATGTTTTCAAATGTCATTAATGTCAGTTGTCAAATTGGTGGAAATGTGCTGTGTGAGGTTATCGGCACAGACTCTAGTATGCACTGCTATTTTCAACTTCATTATTTATGGATTCACTATTTTGTAAAAACGGTTGATGCCTTCTCAAGTGATCCGCAAAATTAGAGGTATTACCACTGGTCTTGTATTCTAGCCCACATTTATTGCATTTTGCAAGCTTTTTATCACCAGACCTTTTAAAATGTGCCCAAACCGAAGACACTTTTGTCCTCTTACTTTTCGCACAGCCGCACAGTGCTTTGAAATAGGGTTTGCGGACAAAAATGAAATAAAGCATAAAAACGGGGTTTTAAAAACATGTTTAATTAAGAAAAAATCTTGATTGTAAATAATAAATCAAATGAACTCAATCGTGCACGTAAACTAAATAAACTTTAAGAAAAATTATCTTCTGTCTCAGAAACCACACACAAATTCCAAATCACAAAATTCTTTGCTCTAAAAAAATATAAACAAAAATAATACATTCGGAAACTATAATAAACTTTAACAAAACTTTTCTGTCTCACACACTAACAAAAAAATCAGAAAACTATATTGTAAAAAATGTAAATTACAGAACACATTCGTAAACTATAACAAAGTTTAACAAAAAATCATTTTCTGTCTCAGACACAGTAACAACGAAACCAAAATTATAGATTGTAAAAAAATCAACGAAAAGAGAACACATTCCTAAACTATAAAAACTTCATCTTCAACAAGAATCGTCTTCTGTCTCAGACTCAGTATCAAACTGTAGAGAAATTCCCGATTCATTAACATCCGGTTATTAAAGAACGGTCTACATCCAAATCAAAAATCACAAGATACTCCGCAATTTCGCTTAAATCGTCATTTCTAGATGATTTTTTCAATGATGGATTTCGATTTGTTGAAATTAGGGGATCAGAGCCAAGTAGTAGTGAATTCATAAGATCTTTACTTGTATCTTTACGGCTGTCAAAAACAGGTTTTTGTGAGATCAAAAACTCCTAATTTTTTTTGTTATAACATAAATAGTTGAAAAAAATGCGTGTTTTTATAATCTAAAAACCGCATATTGATACGTTTTTTTTGTTCAAAAGTTACATACTTTCTGAAATATTAACTGTAAAAAAAATCCTTAAAGTTGATGAATTTTAACTAAACTTCATTCGGCTTCTTAGAAGCCCCAACAGTATTCTCCCTGAAAATTTCATCAAAATACTTCCAGCGGTTTCGGATCTCTCGTGACAAAGACATACAGACAGAAGAAAAATCATACTAGCATA